GGCACGCATTGGCAGCCTTTAAATACTCTTTAGTATATAGTCATTGTCAGCCTTTAAATACTCTTCAGTATATAGTACAGCAAATACATGGACACGCTAAGCGGAATAAGCAGGGGCTAGCAGCCTTAGCAGTGGTGTCCAGGAGGAAACCTTCGGGGGAATCACGGGCGCCGCCCCGAAAGCGGGGTCGACGGATAAGGAGGCTTGAGTTCCCCGCGAGCACGAGCCAGCCGCCTCGGCACAGACGTCATTACGGAAGCAGAAACGCTGAAAGTGGCAACCTCCAGAAATTCCTCAAAATCCGAAGTGAATGCCGACTCGGAAAGCTGAACAGTGTCGAAAACAGCAGGGCGCCAATGCGCTACCGGCCAACTAAATTAAAAGCAGAAGTCTTTTCGAAGTCCCTTTGCCCGACTCAGGTGGCAATGGGTCTGGCAGCACAGTATGTGCCGCCAAAGGCCTGGTTCCACGTGTTCCTGCTGAAGCCCAATTGTCACCTTCCGATAGTGCTTCTGCTATCGCCGTCAGTGAAGGCACGTGGGAAAGACCCGCGCAGACCAAATTTCTTTGTTTGCAACGTTGGTGCGGCGCTTGAATTTGCCAAGTATGATCACCTTGACCGATGGTTTCTGCTTTCATGGGTGCATCACACCAGAAGCTCGCAGTGGCCACTGTCCGCTGTCTTTGTGAAAAAGCGTAGGCACAGCTAGTTAAGAGGATCGTTGTTGAAATTTGGGCAAATCACCAAGCATCGGCAAGCTTCGAGCTCCCAGAATCCTGTAGCTACTGTAGGAGGATTGTTGAGCACCCTTGAGATCTTCGGAGCTCCACGACGCAGAATCCAAAGCAAAATCACAATCAGAAAGGGAGATGATGCCGACAGTCTGTTTTTACGCCCTCGCTGTGGACTCGTTTTAAAGCCCTTCCACCAATGGCTCCGCACACCACCCGTAAATTGTATGTACCAGGGTGCTGAAGATGATCTTGGAGCCACTTGAAAGTCTCCAAGTTTTAGGCTTCGAGTAGGTGCAAACCATGCATGGAGCACGTTGTGTTTGGTGGCACCAGGTCAGATTGTGGAGTCCTGCATAACGGATCTGCAGTCGCATCCTCGTATGCTTGCCGCATGGCAGCCTTCCCACACCCGGCATAGCATCCGAAAGCAGACCGTGCCCGAGGCACACTATGAACACCCTCGTCGATGCGCCTGTCTCATGTTGTCAGGCTTTACTGGTATGCCCGTTCTGGCGCATTTCAGTTCGATGATGTTTTGGTCGGGCTTAGAGCATCTTTGATGCGACACGACGTGCGTTGTGACACACCTGGATGCACACTAGCTGGCGTTCAGAATGGGTAATTGGTCAGCTCATTGGTTTCTTGGCTCGTAGTCTTCGGTTGATGTCATCTAAGCTAACTGCATGTTTTTATAACCTCAGTGAAACGGCTGGGGAACGGGGCGTGGATACGGCGGGGAGTGCCGAGTGCCACCCTCTCGCGCAGCTCAGCTCGGAGCCACCAATTGGAAACGGGCTGCCAAATATGCGAACATCCGTTGGCAACGGTAAAGATGCAAGATCATTCATGCTGCGGGTGAACTGGGTGAGCTGAATGTGTAGGGCATGACGTGCATTCAGTAATTGGAAGCCGATGGTCTGAGGTTTGGGGGGAGTTCCATGATCCCAATCTTCCAGGTCTCTGTGCAAACGCCGCTTGGACCGAAATGGAGACGCGATACGTCGCGTCGATCCGTGTCGCATTTGACCGAGGTGGTCATGGTGATCCCCAGCTCTGATCAGGGCTGGGCCAAGGCAGGAACCATTTTGCGCGGAATGTTTGGCCGAGCCTTGCCCCGCAGGAAATCAATCTTTCGGTCTGGGAGTCCGGGAAGGTGCGCTCTCCCCCCCCTCTCCCCCTCTGCAGCCCTGTCCTTCTTTTTATTTTTTTTTTCTCTCTCTCTCTCTCTCTCCCTGTCTCCGTCTGCCTTTCATTTGGGAACGACTTGCAGCGATCGCCAAAGCAGAGGATGCCTTCGATTGGTACGTGAAGAGCAAGGCAGGGAGAAGCGTACGTGCGCTTGGCCGAGCCCTGCTCTGAGAGCTCTGCCGTGCAGGGGCATAAGAAAGCCCTGACACACCCTCAGCTTCAGCTCGCGAGAGTCTTGCAGCTGTGGGTTATCTAGAAAGGCTTTGAGAGCAGTTTGGATGCATTGCATGCATCCCGTCATGTTCGTGACGAAGGATGGAGCACACGTCTGGCATCCTCCGCACGTTTGGCAATCTTTTGGCTTCCCTCGAGCCTGCCGAGCCGATCAAGTATCAGGACCTTCGCCTGCTTCCCAAATTTATAGAGCTCAAGTACGGCGGAGTACCAACCATGTCTGCACAAGAGCATGGGCAAGCAACCGCCGTGTTGCTCGGGGCTGGAATGCATGTTGCGGTGCGAAGTGCGTTGCGGTGCCAGCATTGGTGTTATCAGGACAGATGCCGACGATGTGGGCGCACAGTCGAGGCAGCTCAGAAACAAGATCGTCAAGTGTTACCTGGTGAGGGTCTATAGTGTCGGCTGTCAAACTCGCTAGGTGAATATGCTGCCGGGAAATGAATACGTTGCGGCTCCCATGATAGAGAGAGACAGACAAAGCGCTAAGCCTTCAAATCGAGTGCTACCTGCTACCTTCTGCAGACCACAATGGCCTCCTGACCTCTTTCATCCTTTCCCCTTATTTGTGAGCATCCGAGCCTGGAGTGCTGTAGGCTGGAGACTGTGCCGCCCATCTCGAGTCTTCCACCTTGGTGCTTGTCATGGTTGAGTCTACATACCTTCTGGTGCTGCCTTTTGCGGAAAGTAACAGTGTGACATCAGGGTAGCAAGTCCAGCAAACACTCTGGCTACCGAGGGGCGAGATTTGCCTACTTACCGTTCTTTCATGTTGTATTAGGGTACTGTCCCCTTGAGTTTTGATTGGCCGAGAAAAGTAGTCGCTGTTTAACCGGTACCCGGAAACTTTGTATCCCTTCGAGTCGCCATATTTCAGAGGGTGTTTCCCTTTTCAGCCTGTGTCCGCCTCCACCCCATACATCCCCTTACCCTATCGGATGAGCCATGGTGCGAAAGATGTCACTTGGGATCGAACACAAGACAGTATGTGCACGACCGCGCAAACCTCCGGATTGTACACTGTTCCTGCCACGAGCTCGTCAGATGCTAGTGCAGGCGGCAGAGAGGAACCGAGAGCGAGGAGCACGAGGCATAGTTGTTGGCGGGCCGTGCGTAGCTATCCCCAGAAGAAAGCTTGCGTTGCCACCAAGAGACGGAGGCGTGAACGGCCAACAAACAACAGAGCACCTGCCTAGACGACCACCTGGCAGACATGTTGCGGGCAAAAAGCCAAACAGGGGGCGGCACCCGAGCCGGTGGATCTGCCGAGCACAGCAGCTGTTGCAGGACAACTGCGAGGCTCAACAGAGTGTAGCACATGATCGCAACTTTCAACTTGCTGGTTCGATGGAGCAGTTCTTTGCAGCTCATCCGGGGATCCTCCAACGAGACTTTGGACGCTGTTGCACCACCATCACAAACCAACACGTATATGAAAAAAACGGGCGGCCCCGCCCGACCCCTCAAAGAGGTAGTATAAAATATATATGTTTTATCTATTTACTTGTCCGCCTATTCAAAAGCAGTCACCGTAGAGCCTTTGCAAGATGAATCCCAATCTTGTCCCGCATGCAACACTGCGAAGCACCGAAGTTTCGCGAGCGAACAACAACAAACACAGTGCGGAGGAATGCCCCCTTATGCCCTGATCCGAAAAGTTGTGGCGGCTGTTGGCGCGTGTTGCCACTGTCATTTTCCGGCTTTCGTTTCCGATTCGTATTTTTTATTGCTGGGACCTGTTCTTGACAGCAAACCGTGCCATAGCTTTCGAGGCTTCGCCAGGCCAGCCTGCACCTGCCGCCTGCCGTGTTTGCGGTGCCAGCACCTTCCGCCTCCTTGCAAGCATAGCATCCAGGAATTGTGGCTGACACAAATCCCAAGTTGCAATGGAAGCCAAGGCTATAACCTCTTCTGAATTCGAAGGAGCATTCCCAGTTAGCTTCGCTGGCCCAGTGTATATAGAGAGCAAACAGGTGCTAAGGCGCACCCGGATTTGACGCTTGGTGAAAGCATTGCGTGTTGTATGGCACCTTGAGGCCTGCCATTTGCCGCCTGCTGCAATTTCTGATTCGAAAGGTGCTCCAGGAGACCGCAGCTCAGAGGGCTCCGAAGCGATCTAAGTCTCCAAGAGGTTTCTACTCGAATGCGATCTCATGGCGATATCGCCACGCTGCCTGGAGTCTTCTGCTCCGGTGCCACCACGTCGGGCCTTGCTCCTGCTGCCCAGAAGGTGCCTCCATGAGATTTCCATCCCAGCCGTTTGCATGGCTGCCTGCCTCATCCGCTAGCACTCACCCGAGGCGTCCACCGTTTGAGGGTGCTGTTCTAGCGGCGGCATTTCGGCGTCATTACATTAATATCTCACTTCGGTTGCGATGTTGACATCATTCATGTGCGATGTTGCAAGCATACACAAGTTTGTGTTTGTGTCGCTGAGATCGTAGCGGCAGCTCCACCCCTTCTCCAGCGAGCTCGACCATGTTCGACGCAGACTTTCAAATCAAAGAGTGCCTCGTGCAGAAGGTGTGTCCGCCTTGATTGAGTCATTATGTCGAAATCTGAGGATGCAAGGAGCTTCCGCTTGGGGCGGCCTGCCTGGTGCTGTATTCGGACGCAGAGGCTTAGCTCAGTTTTTCGCCTTAGTGGCCGATGCACGGACCCGAGCTGGTAGGTCGGAAGCAGAAGGCTGAGCCGCATCCACGACATCCTCAAGGAAGCTGAGCAAATGCTGGGAGGCTCGGAAGAGGCCAGACTTGGAACCCAGCTCCGGAAACCCGGAGCATTTTCCGTGCCATGAAGGCAGAGACCGAGGCACTCCAGCTCAGCCTTCACCTGAGGCAGCTCCAGCACCCTTTTTTCGGTTGTTTGCAGTGGAGGGAAGCCGCAGAGGAGCTGCAGGGACGACCCCGGCCGACTGGGGCCCGGTGTGGGGCGCCTCAGCCGGGAGCTCAGTGCTTTGCTTCTTTTGGCTTCGACTTTTTCGGCTCACAGGTGCTTGGCTGAAAGAAGGTGCGTCGCAGGGTCGCCGCTTTCTGGGTGGAGACAGGCACGAACTCCCGACACGTTAGACTTAGGCCCTTAGCGACAGCACTCACGGCCATGACAGCTGTGTAGAGCTAATCGCGTCTTGTCCCGAATCAAAGCCATGCCGCCCTGCCCTCAGTCTTGGAAAATACAGGTTTTTATCGTTTGTGTGCGCCCGGAGCCTGTCAGAAAGTCATTGCGGGCATTACATGGCGTGCTAAGTGCTGCTCCCAAAGGCCCCCTGCATCGGGATGGCCATAGAGCGCTCTGAGCAGCAACACAACGGGCCGGGCGAACTTCTCTCTCCACCACTTGGGACGTAGTTCTGGAGGAAGTTCTATCCACGTTTGATGCTTTGACTTTAGCAATGCCTGAACATACGCCTTAATCGCATCTGCAGTCGTGGTGGCATGCCCACGTAGTCACCCACTTCAAGTGCTGTGCTATAGCACGAAGGCACTTAGCACCTCTGTGAGCTGCACCAGAAACATCGGTGTGCCAGGCTGTCTTTGCGCAGCGACGTTGCTCTCGTCGGTGCACTGCTCACATCTCGCAGCTCCGTTGGCAGACAGCCTTTGCGAAAGAACACAAGTTGCATCAGCGTACAGACCGCGCAGTGTCCCATTCCCCCAAGGCTCCTGGTGTCGCCGCCTGGCTGGTGCTTCACTGCAGAAGCTGCAAGCTGCGAAACAGCCTTTGAAAGGCCCATGAGTACCATGATGGGGGACGTTTTTGGAGTCTTGTGTGGCCTTTTCAGGGACTGACTTGGTCCTGCAATGGATGCTGACAGTCTTGAATGAAGAGCCGTGCCAGCAGGTGGCTCTGGGGTGCAGGTGTAATTGGGTTCTGCGGGCATCTGCTGGCCTTGCCATGGGAGGCATTGAAGGCGGCACGCGAATTGGAAACCTCTTGGCCCTCTTTGCAAGACGAGGCGAAATTCGAGAGCGAGAGGTCCGAGAGGTCCCAGACCCCACACTTCCCTTGTCAATTTGTTCCTTCACTACACCAGGTGGTCAACAAGTCTCCGTTTTTTCTCAGCCAAGCAGTACCTATTGCGAGGTTTTGTCTTTTGGTTGCTGGCTTCTGTGACGTCGGCTTGGTTGTTTAGATACGAACGCTTCCGAAACTGTTCCGGGCCTTTTAGAAGTCGTTGAAGTGCTACAATAAAAGGTTTCCAGGTTTGCACGCCCGCGCCTGTTGCTCTTGCTGAGACGCCCCGGAGCCCTTGTCGGCCCCACTGCAGAGGCTTCATCAGCACCCGCGCTCGTGCCTGGCAGTGAGTCTGATCGACAGGTCCTTCCCCCCGAGCTTTGCGACTTCCTCCGTTCTCTTGAAGTGCCAGAGCCGCTCTGCGCACAGGACGTCCAAAGCACCTAAGAGAAGAGGAGGGGCACAGGGACCGTGACAGGAGCTCCTTTCGGCCAAGGAGAGGGAAGAGCTGGAAGAGGACCTCGGCCCAACAGGGAAGGATGAAGCTTCGGAGCGGTTTTTGTGAGGAGCAGAGGCAGGCTGAGCTCGCCCCACAGCTGCAGTTCGCAGCCCGTTGCTGCTGTGAGCTGGACTTGTGCACTTCAGGCTGGCATTCCCCTCATAAAGGCCGTGCAGGATGGGGACGTTGAGGCAAGAAGACTCCGAAAGCTTCCTTTCGCCAGCTTGACTGCGCGAGGCAGTCCGCAGCCTCCTCGAATCGGGTGTGCCTCTTCAGCTGCAAAGAGCTTTGCCCTTCGCAATTCGTGGTCTCAGATAGGACCTGTGAGGAGTGTGGATGCAAAGTTTCGGACCAAGCACCACGAAGTGCGGCTGGAGAGACTTGGCACGCCTGTGCGGCACTGCTCATGGAGCCGGAAGCGAGCGTCAGGAGCACATCGCCTGTGCAGTGGGCGTGTCTCGTCCTGCATGTCGCCAACACGACGACGACCACCCTGCCAAGCTCATAGTTGGGGCCTGAGACCGCCTCTAAGAGCTCCGGAGCCTCTGCCGAGAGTCCGGGTCTTGTCGGAGGCGCGAGACCTGAACCTTCGACTATTTCCGGATCGGGATCCCTGCATGGAAGCAAAAGGAATCGAGATCTTGCGTGCCTTTGCCTGCAGGCTGCAGCCCGTTTTTGATTCGAGTCTTTCGAGCATTCGCCATTCCCAACCTGAGGATTACTCGTCGAGTACCGAGGATCGCTGGAGGCCTTGGAGCATTAGTCTTCGTTCGTCTTGGGTTTTGTTCATTGCCCGGCCACTTGAGGCTTGGTGCGTAGCTTGTTTGAAGCTACGCGAGGCCTTGGACTCCGACGGCGGGACGCCGGCGTTTTATGCGGCCATGGCAGGTGCCGAAGCTCCAGAGAGGGATCACTCAGACCTCAAGGGCTTGTGCTTGCCTGCTTTTCTTGTCCTGACGAAGCCCTTGTCTGTGAGAGGGACAAGGTGTGATGGTGGTGTCGCTGTCTCAGGAAATGTGCGGTGCTTTGAGCACATGCTGCAGGCAGGAGGTGAGAAGGTTTTTCACCACCAGGACTCTTTGTGCAGACGTTTTGTGGCATTACAGTCAATCCAAGTTTGAGTCTTTCTCATGCGGTTGTTCGATGTTGTTCGGTTAGAGGCGCAAGGCAGTGAGCAACCCATTAATACACTGCATCTTTGGATTTCAAAAGGCACCCTCCCCTACGTTCCCAGCTGGACTCCCGTTAGGGTCATGAACCGGTGCCAGCTGCGGGTTTCCTGCACGTCTGCAGACACGGAACTGCAGAGGATTATTTGGACCGATATCCACTCTACTGGGCAACATCAAACGACCAGCCGGCCGCGGTGCAGTGGTTATTGCAGCACACTTGCTTGCCCGTGGTGCGAATCTCAGTTGTTTTGTTGTTTGGGGTTTGTGAGCATTTCGGAAGCTTTACCACCTGCTGCTGGCACTGTTGCACGACTTCGCAATCGCCTTCTGAGAGCTCGTGCAGCTGCCAAGGATGCACGCAGCCGGCACGGGCGAACTGCACTGGCGAAGGCTTTCTCGTCGACGCCTCTCACATGGCGGACCTCACATCTGTGCCTCTCCAGGCTGCCTGGTCAGACTCTCCGGACATCGCCGCACCGATGCTGCAAGCAAGTGAGTGTGTTCTGTGGAAGTCTGCCTTGTGCTCGATTTGATCCATGGACCCCTCGGAGGCGATGTTGCTGGAGAAGCATGCGGATCCACGAATCGTCGACGACCACCAGCGCACAGCCACTCTCTGACGCACACATGCCGTGTTGCAACAGTCGTAGAACGTTGCAGGGCTGCGTCAGGGATGCGACGACAAGCTTTCACCGCCGTGTAGCTCATGGGCCCATGACATGCCGTTATGAGTGGCTTGCCTGTCCGAGAGGTTCTGCACATGGCATCTTGGGGTGCTTGGGGTGGTCGCCGTGGTGGCAAATTTGTGAATGGCCCCTCGACTATATAGGCGGCATCTGATGAGTCTTCTTCGGCCGCTGAGCTCGAGATGCCTTGTCAGGCCGCGCTGCAGGGGCCAGCCCCAGATGCGTGCGGCTCATCCTGACAACGGAGGAGGTGGTTGACAGCTGTCGGGCGCTTGCTGGGGTGCTGAACTGATGGGCTTCGGCGCTTGACGCGTCATCCTTCAGTGTTGATGCTCCTCTTCGGTGGCAGGGGCGCCTTTGCATGCACGCTGCCGACCGTGATGGGGGGACGCCGATTGCCATCGCATCAGCAACGGGCGCACTGGATGCGCTCGAGGATGCGATGCAGGGCTGCGAAGGGGTTGAGAGCATCACTGTCTCGCCTTATCTGTCACGCCACCCAATGCGTTACTGAAGTGGCTGAGCATAGCGTCTGCACTTCAGGAGCTGCTGCATTGCCCAGAAGGACTCAGGTGGGGGAGCTGCCAGCATCGCTTCACTTTGCAGCGACCTTTTTGCTGGTTCTGCATCTTCCCACAATTCTCCATGTTGCGCGGCCTGCAGGCAGGTCCGTGATCCTCCACCGGAGCTGCAGGAGACAGCAGCCAGGGAGCAGCCTTGACAGGATTGAAGGCTCTTCCCGCAAACTTAGCTAGTTCAAGGATGATTGTATCGGTATTCACAAACAAACTGCAAGCTTGTCCGGCCCCGTAGATCCAAGCGTGAGTGTGACCTGTGCAGCACATTTCTCACGCACGGTTTACGGATGCTTCTGCGTTGAGGACTTTCTGCCTCTTGCAGCGGCAGCTTTCCGCGGCCATGTCGACTGTGCCTTATCATTGAATGTAGCAGGATGCTGGCAGGCGGACGACTGCATTCGCTAACACACAGCATTCAAATAGTATCCCCAGCCAGGCATGCAGATGCTGCTGGATGCTCGGGCGACGCCGGAGCTTCGCGCAAAGAGCACTGGCAGGCGCTTGGCAAGGAATCTCACAAACCGGACTGCAAGCCATTGCTTTGTAAGACTTTGCCCATCAGTCTGCAAACTCTCGTATCAAGGGAGTGATGGAGGCTTCTGCTGGCTTACGGTCCATGTTTTCAAAATTTCTCGGATGCCGTAGCGACATAAAGCCCTTGTAGGCCCGAATCGAGTCCGGGAGGCGCTCGAAGTGGAAAGTCTTTTGGTGCTCTTTGAGCTTGGGTTTGGTGTGTTTCCTGCGGCGTGCCACTTTGTTCGGTGCCCACTTGTCACCTCTGATCAGGTCTGCCATGGACTTCGCCGTGATCGGACAGGAGTCTGCAGAGTCCATCTGAGTCCTGTGTGTGGGGGTTGCAAGTGGCGATGGCAGTTCCCCTTGAGTGGAAAAGTCGCTTTCCTTCAACGGGATTGTGAAGTCGGCTTCCGGTTTCCTTCCCTGGAGCTCCTGTCAGTACACTCTAGGAATTTCGTGCAGAGGAGCTCCCCACTGCCGAGCTCTTGGTCACTTGGCGGCAACGTCTTCTTTGAAGTTTGCAAATCTCCGGATTGTCGGGCGACATCCCGAGGCAAACCAGCTGCTGCCGGGTGCCAGCGCAACTGCGATCTTTGCAACAGCTCTGACCTGGGCCGTGCACACCGGAGTGCCAGGTGGGGCGAGAATCTCAACTGCCAGCAGCCACTCTTGATTCTGGAAGTAGGCGTACAACTACAACCAGCAATCCGATGCGATGCTCCAAAGTCGGGAGAGAGCGTGGAGGGTTTCTTTCATTTCTGCAAGAGATCCTTTGCGACTCTTTTCCGACTGGAGTCTTGCGGGGGCAGTTGGCAGATTTGCGCTGCAGCATTAGTAGAGGCTTCTGAACAGAATTCGACATGTGGATGTGCTTGATTGCGATGAGATTCAAGTTCAAGGTTTTTCTTCTGTGAGGCATGATTCGACTGCTTGCTCAGCGTTGTCCGGAGGCCTTGCAGAGTCAGGAGCCTCGATGCCCGACCTTGAATGTGTGAAGATGCACCCTCAGTTCGTCCGCTGAGCTGTAGCTTTTGCGGAGAAAATAGACACCCTCCTTGGATCATCGCTTGCAGCAGTTCGTTTGGCAAGAGCTTGTGTAAATTGGCAGCGGAGCCAAAGCTGCCTCGATCCAGGTTGCCGTGGACCCAGGGCCGAACACCACCGTTGATGACTTCATAGGTGAGTAGAAAGTTGTCGGCGCTCCGTTGTGCTGCGGTGGCGCCGAGGAGACAGGAGACCATGACAAAGCGGAGCCAGACCACGCCAGAGCAATGCCATGCATCTCCTTAGCTGAGGGCGAGAAGCCCTGTCGCCGGCACTCCGACGAAGGAGACCCTGGCTCCTCGCTGGAACCAGTGCATCTCCTTAGCTGTGGGCCGAGAGGCCCTGACACTCCCGAGCAAGAGGACCCGAAGCCTGCCAATCAGGCGACGAGAACCGAAGATCAAAGCCACACCTCAGCAAACCTTAGCTAGGCAGCAGCTTGCAGCAGAAGGCACTTCAGCCTGCCAGCCAGGGAGGATGCTTACGTCTCCCTGCCACGTCTGCAGCACGAATGCTGCTCATGACGTGCGTCTCAGGAACAGGTGGGTTTGCGTACCCCAGCCGAGGCGCCGGGCCAAAGCCGAAGGCGGCATGCAAACATGACGAAGGTGTGCATGTGCAACGCAAAGCATGCCTCGCGTGTGGAGCAATCAGCTGGACACAGTCATGACACATGTCGCGCACCGGCCCCGAGGGGGTCCAAATCGCATCGGGTGAGACACCCCCGCACATGATGGAAACACCGTGCCCCTCGACCTGGCTAGCGATCATGTGCAGGCGCTTGACCAGGGCAAAAGCATGAATACCCTCACATGGAGCATCACGAGCATGGTTGCGCTTATCAACCAGCCAGCGCTGCGGTCTCGCCAGGCGCCGAGTCTCGCGCACTTCGTCGGCGGCGCGCTGCTGCGCAGCTCTCTCATCAAGAATGTTCCAAGTGACTTGACCGTTGGTCCAGCGACCCCAACGACCGCTGCGCTTCCAAGGCACGGGCAAACATGACTCGAGGGCCTTGACCGGCCGAGCCGCCATGAGGGCCGCACGTTGTGGGCTTTGCCCCGCTTGAGCTTGTAGGCAGCCCATGTTGCTGCGGCTTTAAGCGCCCTGCAAGCCGCGACCACTGAGAGGTCTGCTGTGTGGCCCAGCAACAATAGTCTCTGAGGATCTCTGCTGCTGCGATCGCCTTTCGCTTCACCGCCCGTAACAGCTTGCCTGAATGTCTCAGTATAACAACTGAGTTCGGCGGCGTCCGGGACACGACCATTCAGAAGACAGGCCCAAGCCGCGATCGGGCTATAGACGGTGGCACAAAGGGCCACGCGCATCAGCCTTGTCCTTACAGCAGTGTCAGCCGAGCCGGGGCGCCGACTGAAAACCTGAGTCTTAGCCTCGTGCGTTCTGAGGCGAGAAACCTGCGCAAGCTCCTCCCACGTGCCAAGAGCGACACGAAGAGACGCCTGAGAGGTGGACAACAGGGTGCGGGCCATCGAGGTACAAGAAGCACTCTGTGCCCGGAGCCTTAGCAGCAGCAGCTGTTTGCTTCGGGGCTGCTAGGACCTGCTAGGACGGCGGCCAGACCCACCGGACTCCAGGGATTTATTCGGGGGGAGCCCAGCGCACTGCATTAAGGGCTCCGGGCACGTGACGCCCGCAAAAGGTGATCCACTGCACTTGTCTCTTCCACTGGTTGAGCAGGGACTGTTTCCGGTACGCATCGGTACGCCCATGGCCCCAAGGCTAAGTAGGGCGAGAGGATAGTCGCACGAATCGAAAGCTTTCCGATAGTCAAGAGCCGCAGCATAGCTGTGAGCCTCACTTGGGAAATCCGTCTCTGCTGCAAGTAGCAAACCTTGTGGGTCGACACCGTGAGCCCCTCCTGCTTGCCTGAGGCGGCCCCATGCCCTGTAGACGGCACTGCTAATAGCAATAGGACGAACTTCATCAAGGGACGGGCAGCAATGAGTCCCCTTTAGGAATGAAGACCATGTTCCACTGCGTAAAGCTCTCAGGCCACTGACCAGAATTTTCACAATGGTTCAGGAAGGAGGCAAGCTGAAAGAGGCCTTCTTCAGGAAGCGAGCTCAAGCAGTCAGGAAAAAACCATAGAGCCCAGCCGCCTTGCCCTCACTTTCTTAAGGGAAGCCTTGAGGTCTTGGGCCGAAAGCGGAGAGAGAGGAAGAGGGCCCAAAGGAATATGAGAACAGAGGTAGTCACCATACCTCTGTTGAAACGCTGTGCAGTGCGTGTCCGAGGCTGATGGGCCCCGAAGCTAGTGCTCCAATGCTCTTTTAACGCCTCAGCCGCCGCAGGGCGTTTACTGAAGACTTTACTTACCCTCAGGATTCTGAAAGCATTGCGGGCTAGGGCCTGTGCTTTTGATGCAAGAAGTAGCGCCCGACAAGGAGTCCCTTAGCAAGTTGGGCACGAACCATAGAGGCCGCGAGGGTCCATCGGCCCTGAGAGACCGCCTGGTGCTCCTCAGACTGCAAAGGGGCCGCACTGAGTTTTTGGACCAAGCCCGGGTCCACAACATGACCTTTCCAGGCTTGGACATGTGCGTCAGTGAGACGCCGCAGAGTTCTGCGAGTCTGTCTTTCCTCATGAGATTGAGCAAGACCGGCTGCATGAACTGCCGGGCGAAGCTTAAGCAGGCTGCCAAGCGGCCTTTCACCGCACGTCCTAGGCGCGCGCTCAGAGCGCACCATCCACTCCTCGACAGCTTGAGACCAAAGGAGCCATTTGGATTCAACCGAAGGAGAAGCCTCGAAGTTGCAGGTCCTAAGGGGCCACGAAAGGTCAGGGGCTTGTTCACAGTTCTCAGACGGTGAGAGCCTCCGTAGAGCCGGTGGCACCAGATCGCAGGATCTGACCACCTCCAAGGTCTTGCAGAGCAAGTTGATGTTCCGGTTCAGCTTTTCGAGCCCGACGAGACCACCGCGAAGGAAACTTTGGTTGGAATGAGCCCGATCTGCCCCGACGCAGTGTTTGTTGTGTGACAGTGCTGCCTGGGAACGGCTCCCCCCAGTTCTATGACTGCACCACCCCGACCAGGAGAGAAGCCGAGAGAGGTGTCTGGATGTATATGCCGCGCGGTGACCCCTCTTCGACCACCGCCTCCGAGACCTCAACCAGTGCGGCGCCGCGCCTGTGATGACCTTCTTTGCCTTCCCCGGCTTCACCTTCTTCGGCGCACCTACCCCGGCGCACCTACCCCGGCAACCTCCGTCCGAGCCCTCTGTTAAAGAGTGGGACGAGGCAAGAGCTGAGTCAGAAGTGTCTACCTTTGACGGCTCCGTCGACCCGGACACCCTGCATGCGGCCTTTGCGGCTTTCGCGGCGGCTGCGGCGAGCAGCGGCGGCTTCGGCGACTGGGCCTCGACTCCAAGAACTGGTTCTCCGCAAGATCGGCGTGCAGTGCTACCTGAAACCCCGGGCAAACCTCAGAATGGACAAGATGGCTGGCGCTCCACCTGCGCCACCTCCGTGGCACTACAACAAGGACGATCTTCGTGCCCACGACCGTTGGTTCGTATGAGTTAGAGACGGCCGAACTGAGTGTTGAGCAGAGCTTTGGATCAAGGTGATGCCGACCTCGAACAGGACGGCGAGTTCATCAACGAGAAGGCTCGTTCGCTCCTGTGGGTTTCGGACGCGAAGTCTGCCTTCTTACAGAGCGAAGGAACCCCGAAGAGCGGGCGGGTCCTCCGTCTGTGTACCGACCTCGAGTCGACCTCACGATTGAGACCGGTGCCTTTTCTGCTGAGCTGTGGAAGGGGCTTCAATCAGCACTGTTTTGACAAGTGCCTCTGCCACTACACGGACGACGAGGCCGCCTGAGAGCCCTGATGATTGTGCACGTGGACAACTTCCAGTGCACGTACTGTACGACCAGGACTTCGATTCCGACATCGTCCGGGACGTGTTCGTGTGGGGCTCTGTCACGATCGTTGAGCGCGACGCCCCCGGAACCTACCGCGGCACGGAAGTCAAGAAGGTGCTCAAGGAGGACAAGATCGTCCTCATGGTGACCCAGACGGCTTTCGAAGGTCTGACTTCCGGCTCTGTGCCCCGCGAGGACGACGAGAAGCTGACAGTCAACAGTTTGGGAGCCTCGCGGGCTCCATCAAGTGGCTAGCCTCCCAGACTCGTCCCAAGGTGTCTGCTGTCGTCAGCCTCTCCAACCGCGGAGCCAACACCTCCGTCACCGACCTCAAGCGCTTGTACGAGACCGTGAACTACCTCCAGGAGACGAAGAGCCAAGGCTTGACTTTCCAAGCCATTCCCACGGCATCGATGAGAGTGTGTCGCAGCACCTTGGCGGCAGAAGACTCAGGAGCGGATGAGGGCACAGACCACGCGTCCTCCAAGCCTTTCGCCAAGCCCTCCAACTTGGGGTTTTGGCCTTTTCCAAATCTTTTTCCAGCCAGTTACCTGTCCAGGCCCCCAAATGGGCTTTTTGGCGTGTTGCGTTCCAGGCCCCCAAAACGGTGTTTTTGCCGTTGGCCAGGCCCTTTCCAGGCCCATGAACTTGGCCTTTTTGCTTTTCCAGACTTCCCGGCCCCAAATTGGCTTTGCGAAGCCCCCCCCAGGTTTTGCCTTTGGCCACGTTTCTTTGCCTTGTCCAGGTACCCTTTCGCGAACATGTGCCTGTCTGAGTTGCTGTACGACGAGCCAGCCTTCAAAGTAGGATGCAAGCTGAATGGTCGACACGTCACAGATGCCCAAACTTCTCTATGACTGCGCGCTGGCGGAAAACCCCAACGTGGCCGACAAGAGGCTCCTGGTGAACATCCGCTCCATCCAGCAGACGGTGATCCCCAAGGAGATGCATTGGGTGCCGACTCGCCTCATGTGGGCAGATGGGTTAACCAAGCTCGACAGCAGCTTGCATCTTCACTTTGCAGAATGGCTGCGCGATCCCTTGGTACAGCTAAGCGGTGCCGGTGAGCCAACAACGAGCACTACGAGTGTGAAGATGCACCCTCAGTGCGCGTGACTTTAGTTGTCGCGGACCTTTGGTTCACCAGTCGTATGTTGAGCGTTCGGATGTTTGCCTCGAGCGAACATGCTAAGATGATAACATGTCCGCCGAGATTCTTTTGACTGGAAGTCGCGTCGCGCTCTCGCCATCTCGGTTATCCCGTTTAAAGACAGCAGGGCTGCCTCACCGGTCACAGACACCCGAAACAAGTTGCAACACTAGCGTCTGCGAGCTGTTCGAAACACGCAACCAAGAACAGAAAGCATGACTGAAGAGTCTCCAGTTTGTGCTGGTTGATTTCGTGCGCAGGACTTTATCCACCTGGTCTTGATGCACGGGCCAAGCAGCCGTGCCGAGGCTTGGTTGGGTTTCCCCCTGCGGGCTACTTTCTGCCAAGTGACGTTGTCACACTGTCGACATCAAAGAAATTCGGCCGGGCCGTGCCCAAGGACGTAATCTTACAATCGTAACAAGCATCTGGTGACAGCTGAGCTGGTTGACCTGTGTCTAGACCGGTGAGTGTTTCTGATTGCAGTGGTGTTTTTCGCGAGCCTGCAAACCTTCCAAGTGTTTTATGGCATGCACCTTTGTGTGTTGTGGTTTGGGTCGTCTTGCCGCACGATTGCGCCGTCGAGGTCACGTGGCCGCCCTTCCCGGCCAATGCCGAGCAGCACCCAGCACCACCTCCAAGTCCCAGGAGACGACGAAGAGCTGAGCTCAAATTGACGTGGCGCGTAGTCCGACCCCGTCACGAGGCACTCGGCGCTGCGCCGAGGAGCGGGGATTCTGCTTTGACCTTCGTAGTTTCATCCCATCTGTTCCTTTACATGAATACCATGCCCCAGGCTCTTGGAAATCATAAACGAAGCTACTGCTGTCGATGGAAGGAACGTTTAGTGTCTGAAGCCCGAGGCTGCGCATCTTGTGGGAAGCTTGACAAGAAGACAAAGTGCGTCTTCTGCAGGACGTCTCAAGCCATTCAGTTCCATTTCCATCATCTGCTGTGCCTCGGTGACACTGCGACAGTGATGTTTTCTACGCCGCGGAGCGGGGAGCGCCCTCTCGAAAGTTGCTGGCGGCCCAAGGCCAAGCCCTTCTAGGGGCAAAGGCTGAGGTGACCGAGTCAACGCTGACCAGTGTGCTGAGGACCCGCAGCTTAGAACTTATGCCGCTTATGCCTTGTGCCTAGCTCGGGGCTTCGCCTCGGAGGCGGGGACTGGGCCGCTCAGAGTCGGAGCAGCCGCTGCTAGACGCGCTGCTCCGAGCCTACACGAGGCCAAGGAGGGGAAGCTCGAGCTTCAGCTCGAGAGCGCTAGAGAGCGCAGTCAGCTCTCTCCTTTTCCAGGCCTCAGCGGCCTCAAGCCAAGCTGGCCTGGCCGCTGGTTGCAGCGGCAGCGGCCAATAGCCCCGCTGCTGTCACCCAGTGAAAAAATCTCGTGTGCTTTCGTGTTGCAGGATGTTGCAATATGGTACAAGTATGTCGGCGATTGTTGGGATGTTTCGGTGTGAGCGCCAGCATGAGATTTTTTTCACCAAGGCCTCGCGATGTGCAAGACGAGGTAAGACAACCCACGCCTGAGAGTCTGCTTTCTCACCGAGCCGGTGTTGCCTTTCAGTCTCTGTCAAGAACTGCAGGTGTCACTCCTACTGGCATCGAAGGCAGATCCTGCTGGTGCAGGCTTTTCGGCAGCCGTGAGAGCATACTGTCATCGTAGGTCGTCGTGCGTTGAGTGCTTGCGGATCCTTGCACAGCCTTGCACTGCACCTTGCACAGATGGCTTCGCTTTCACCGCAGCTGCCGACTCTGAAGAGTGCCTCGCCCTGCTGCTCGAGGCCGGTGTGCTCGAATGGTTTTTCCACGGACCCCCTGCTCATTCAAACCTCGCAGGCCTGTGAGGGAGTGCCACGATGTCCGAGGACGCTGGACCCCGGACGAAATTGACTCAAACCTTGGGCTGTTGAGTTGGGCATCTGCTCAGAAACAATAACACTCAGAGGCAGTAAGTCAGTAAGGCTGGTGAGAACGCCCAGCCAGCACATTGCCATCCAATCACCAATCACGAGCAATATGAACATAAAGGCACGCTCGTTGTCACGCACCCTCGTCTGCCGCTGCTCCCAAGGATGTGACCGAAGAGGACAAAGTCAGCCTTCTGGAGGCAGCAAGTTGGGCACGTCAGCTCTTGTGGATCCTGTGTCCTGTGCAGGTTGCTGCGGCCAAAGGAAATGCCCAGTGCCGCGCCTAGAATTCCAGGGGCACAGAGCTCGGTGTCCCAGAGCTCGAGGTGTGTGGGCCTGCTCTTCACCATGCTGCATGGTGATGCAACTGCAGCTGCAGCGGCTGCAGCGGCTGCAGCGGCTGCAGCGGCTCAGCGCGCTGAGCACTTCGATGCTGGCTGCAGACAGAAGAAACTTGAGAGACTTCTGTAATACAGGAGGTCGTCCTGGCTGCAGAATTCTCTAAGCGCCAGCCAAAGCCGACAGACTCACCGAACATGACAGAATTAGCTGTGGTGCAGCGCAGTGAAGAAGCCAGACAAAACCGGTTTTGCGACGAGGTCAGGAAACCACACACCAGAACGATCAGCTAACGGTGACGGGCATGACGGGTGCATGCGAAAGCTAACGCTTCCACGTTGTTTTTAGTTCGGGTTTCCGTGTTGCGCAGGCAGCGCTGGAGATGCTACAGTAGATCTACAGCAGTCTTTCGCGATGTTCCGTGGCTGTCTCAGGACATCTCTCGTTGGCTTCAATCTGCAGAGGGTGTAAACAGCATAGCACCTTGGTGAAAGGCTGGTCAAGAGCAACCTGCGGCGTCGCGTGCAGTCGGAGTCTGTTTGAAGTTGTCGCTACAGCTGTTCACGGGGCTTGTATACAGGGGGCGCATGTCGACAGGAGAGCTGCTAGTACGCTCATGCAGGGTTGGATAGTTTCTCGGAAGTTTCTCGTTGTGTCATAACGTGTGACATGTTTTCGAGGTCCTGGGCTTTAGCACCTCAACGTGTGACAGATCTGCAAGGACTGCAAGGACAAGCGACGATCTTTCCGAAGGCCAGCCGTAGTTCCTTCACGTATTCCCTTTTGAATGATAGTCGAAAGAGCGTTTGTTCATGGTTTGAGAAAGTGCACTAAGTTGCAACCACACCTGTGAAAGTTTAGGCAGGCTAGGACCTCGAAGTAAGCATTGAGTTCACACACATGCCCAAGGAATGTAATCACAATAGCAGCAGCTAGATGATAGATGAAGAGCAACAACAATGCGATTGAGACCGGTGATCTGTACTGTGCTGGGTGTGACGCCAAGGCTAAGGGTGGTGATGAAGGTGACGGCCACAATTCGACGTCGGTAGTGGGGCATGCGGAGGGGACGCCGGTGGCGCAGCGAGGACGCCAATGACAACGCCGACGACGACCGTGACATCATGATAATAACAATGGGGATGACGATGGTGATGATGATGATTCTGGTATGATGCATGCGCTTATGCTGATGCTCATGTTTAAGAAAGCCAACATCATGTGCCGGCTTTGAACATCCAGCAACTCCCAGACCCGCTAGCTAGATGATTTGATGGACGATGGCTTCGCATGTCGCAACATGCAGGAGCCGCCCTCAATGATCGAAGCACCTTCCCAACTCGAAGGAAGCCGCCCTGACAAACACTCCTGCTGCAAGAAAGGAGCGCAGCTGCTGTCCTGGCAATCAGTGCTGAAACCTGCAGATGCTGTGCTGCGCTCCTGTTGCTGGATCGAGCGGCTCGGATGCACTTCGGTGGTGAAACAGTCGGGAGATCGTTTTGTCCTTGCGACAAATGTTCAAGTCGCCTGCTCGTGCTTTTGTCCTCAGTGGGTGCTTTCTCGAAGCTTCTCCCGTTGCTCGGTCTCGATCCAGCCTTTCAGCTGCTTTGCATTCAAAAACTGGATGCCAACCGTTGAGCCGTTGATGGAGTTCAATGCCCATATCCCTGCGCCAGAAGCTTTCGGCGGTGCCATACCCAGTTCAAACTTTAAGCGGCTCATGGTACCTGTCAGCGCCGGGCCCCTTAGTTTCAAGTGCAGTTGCTACCAGTAGCCCGTTTGCTTTCGCCTTCCCTTGCTTCCAAGCGAAGGTGCTTGGCTGATGCGAGACAAGCTTTGCGCTCGCTGGAGGTGCCTTGCAGTTCCAGCTCCCTTAGGCCCTAAGGAGTTAAACTTCGTGTTCAGAGAGTTGGCGCAAAGCGAGCGACCGCAACGCGCGCCTGTGTGAGGAGGACCTGTCTGAGTTGGCCATCCTCGGTGTCGACCTGGAGTGTGGCATGGAAGATTTTGGACTGTCCTCTCCTTCTCCTTTCCCTCTGCTTTCGTGCCCTTGCGCTACCTTCTTTGCCTTTCTCAGGCTACGGTGACGTGGTTTGTACACTGCAGATGGCGACAGTGAAACGGACGGTCGTCCTGGACGCGTTGAGACTACATGGCTACATTGCCGAGCTTGTGAGCAGTATTTTCTTGGACGGAACCATCACCAAGCTCTTCCATGCACCGAGAAACGATATGCGGTGGCTTTGGAGCAACTTCGGCGTCCAAGTAGTATCTCGGCCAGAGAATGCGAGAGATGCAGGTACCAACCTTGCCCGGTTCTTTTGCTTTCGCGATGCCTTGAAGAGGTGAACATGTTTGACACAGACACTGTGGCCATGCTGGTGGACGAGCGAGAGTTTGGGGTTGGACGCCACTGCAGCCTGAAAGAGCTTTGCAAGCGCTTGCTCCAGATAGATTTAGTGACTTAGCTTGATTGGATAACAGAGAGATGCCTCTCGTCAGATCCTGACCTTTCAGGCTCAAGGCTGCCCAGCACTCCATCTCACTTTTTTGCCTTCCCCTTGCGGTGACTGAGAAAGTGGAGCCAAGGATAAGACTCACCAGCGTTCCGACTGGCGGTTGAGGCCTCTTCCCGAGGAGATGTGGGCCGTCGCTTTAGTCGGACTTAGGCCGACTTTTGGAATCGAAGCTTCATAGGAGATGCTTGACTATGCCGCACGCGACGCAGAAGTCCGCGGCCTACTGCTCCGCTTGCGGAAGCAGTTAGATCCGGGCCTTGCAAGCAGGTGCTGCTGCCCTTGGCCACGCATCTTGCCAGCATGGCAGACGACAAAATGCTGTTGAAGGTCGGGTCGGGGCACCATGCGCAGTTCAAAAACCAGGTCTTGCTGATGGTTTGCAGAATGCAGTCTGCTTAGAGCGGTGCTGTATGCAAGCCTTGACAGCTTAGCTTGGGATGGTCGGAGAATCGCCCGCATTCGCTGCAGGAGGCTTTGCAAGCGTGCCGCAGGCAGCTGCAGGTGCAGGCCTGGCCTCTGCTGTCAGTGCGTAGCTATGCGTAGCTATGCGTAGTTGTCGCTGTCGAGCCGAGGACTCTGGCAATGGGATACGAGTCGAACTTCTTGGAACAGAGCAGCTCTGCAGATGATCTCGGCCATGGAGATCTCGCGACTCCATCCAAGGAAAGATGAGTCATCACCTACATAAGCCAGACCACAAGACGAACACTAGCAGCTCCAACTGCGCCTGGAGCCAGCTTTATGCCAGACTGTTGAGATGCCAGAGCTGGATTGCAAGTCGCTCTCCGAATCTGCACGGACTGCGTGAATCGTATTTGTCTTGGCTTGCCTCAGAGCTCTGGGGCGGATGCCATCAGCGCGAGCGACATGGCCATGACGATGACTTTCTCCCGGAATTGCAGTCGGCAGCTGCTGTGAGCATCCCTTTCGACATGCAGGTCACGACGGCCACTTGAAGCGTTGGCCCCATCTCCTAGAAACCTTCTCCGCGCAAGAGTGGAGAACACCTCCACAAAAGGGTGGTCCAGAAGGAATCTACGAGCGCGCCCCAAAGGGCCGAGTGGCCAAGTGCTGCACAGGCGGAGCAGTTCGACTGATCGCATGTACTTTGCTTGCCACTGGTCGTCTCTTCATTCCGCGGATGCTTGTTTTTCTAGGCCCGAGCAGGGTGACTAAAATGTGCAGCGTCAGTAAGACTAAATTAGCTGCGCTGTTTTCAGCTTCAGTCCGGACTAGTGGCCAGAGTCCACAATTACGCACTACGTGACTGCGCGACAGTCTGGCCATGCAAGCCGCTGTCGGTGACAGAGTTCGCTTGCGAAACTATCGCTACAAGGTTGGACCCCTTGGCGCATGCTCTGCGCAGCTTACAGGCATGTCGCTTGAGGCCAGTGATAGCGCATTCGTTTTGAGGCAGAAGGGACTGTCCGTTTCCTGGGCGACCTTCCTGGAGAAGGCCTTTGGTGCGTGGGGGTTCCGCAGTGGGAGTTTCCTTAGATTCTGCTGTGCCAGGGAGCTTAGCTGGCGTTGAGCTTGACTTACCTATCGGGAAGAACGATGGCGATGCTTGGACGGCAGAGAAAAGCGTGGAGCTTGAGCACGACATGATCAAAAGGCCATGAGAGTTGTTTCGCTTCTTCGACATTGACGCATTCAGCAGCCGTTGAGGAACGCGATGGAGTGAGATATTTTACCTGCCAGCCAGGCAGGACCAACAACGGAGAATGCTCAGGGCCGAGCAACTCGCAGCTTTCTGCAGGTCATGGAATTTTCATTCGGCAAGACTGGCTGATCAAGTTGGGTGAGGAGGCCTTCACATGCCATCCTTATGATGCCCATGCCTATGCCTAGAAGAGACCCTGACCTCAAGTGTGTCCAGGTCTCGGTCTCGGCCTGCTGTTTGTTGGTTTTGTGCGGTGCACCCGAAGGAAAGCCAAGGCACCGCTCGCCGGCTCCAGCGGAGCAAGGCCGGGAGCAGCAAAGTGTTGTGGAGTCGGGCAATATCTCGCTGCCAGACCGATGGCTTGATGGAGTGCCTCGGGTGATTTCAGAGAGATTTCTGCTAAGTTCCGGCACGTGAGATGCGCATTCAGGACTGATGCAGCCATCGCAGAGCTGCAGAGGGCGCTGAGTGAGGTGCGAGGAAGAGTGTCTGTCAGAAGCTCATCTCAGCGTCCTTTATTGGCCGAGGTGAGTGCACGCATCGGGGTTGTCGAGTCCGACCAGAGCAAGTCTCCTGAACACCGAAAGCTTCACGAGCTGGAGATGCGTGTTGAAAGTCTTGAGGCAAGCAAGAGGATGGGTCAGAGCCAGGACAGAATTTTCAATCATGCGACATCGCAGAATCGCGAGATGGAAGCTTCAGCAACGGGCGCCGCTGTGCCGACAAACCTCACGGACAACGACACTTTCAAAGATGCGTTGTCGCAGAATGAGATGGAAGCTTCGGCCACGGGCGCTGCTCTTGTCCATAGTGAAAATCGCATCACCCAGCCTGGACATGTGCAACTTGTGCAGGATGCTGATGCTCGAAACGTGGATAAGGTTGGGGCTCCTACCGGCCGTGAAAGCAAACATCAGCCAGCAGAGCAAAGCGTGTGTGGAGCATACGAGGAGGAGAGGAGAAAGCGTCCTATCGTGCGTGACGACGTGCAAGCTTCGCAGCAGAGGCTGCAAGTCTCCCACGCTGACATTGGAGACAGCGTGAAGTCTATTGGCAGATTGGAAAAGGGCATTTCGAGCTTGAACAGGCAACATACCGCGCTTACTGGAGAGATGTGGTCCATGAAGGAGACTGTGAGGAAGCTGCAGCTATCCGACATCCAAGATCTGTCCGACAAGTACCAAGCTACACAGCAAAGCCTTTCGAAGCTCCAGCGACAGATGAATGAGAGCTTGGCCACTTTCCTCCAGAGGGAGAATGCAACTGAAAAGCGTTTGCTAGAAGCTGAGGCATCGCAAAAGCAGGTTCTTGCGGCTGCCACAGAGGCGCAAAAAATCGTCCTTTCATTGACTCGTCGGGTTGGAGCAGTGGAGGTGACTCACATGAATGCTGAACGTGCTGCAGTAGTGGCAGCAACTGAAACACGACAACTGCGGGAGCGGATGATGCTTGGAGACATGTTGGGCCCAAGCTCGAAAGAGTATCAGGAGCAGGAGCGACCTGGCCCTGGCAGTCAAGTGAGGAGCAAATCTATTGACTCTGCACTGAGTCACCATGGCACGCACGATTCGTGCTTGCCAAGTGCCATGAGGTCGGAAGTTCGCTCCAGGGCCGGAGGGCGTTCCTTCTTGAACTGGCCATGGAAACCCTAGCCGAGCCCCCGAGCCTAGCCGCCCTAGCCCTAGGACGGCCGGGGCGATCTCCTTCGCGCAGACAAAGGGCAAACCGGCTCGGCCCCGGGCGGTGGAGTCCGGGAGATGCCAAAGCTGTTGCGCCTGCGCCCTGCGGTCGTCAGAGCGAGCTCGGTCAGAGCACTTTTTTGTCGTTCTGCTTGCGGCATCTTCTACCTGGCTGAGCACGCTGAGATTTCCTGCGCATTGCTTTGGAACGCTGCGCGCGGTCTAGCATTGACAGACACACCAACCAGTAGAGACGAATAGATGGTAATTTTCGATTCGAAATTACTCGTAACCCGCGTCCATGCTGGGATTCCTGACTACAAAGCAGCAACGACAATTTATCATTAGCTTCGATCTCCCCTCCCTTCAAATACTAAAAATCGATTTGCCACTGAACTATGGTTTCTGATACGGACTAGGTGCAGACAATTATTTTATTATATCGCCGCCTGCACGGGATACAAAACAAAATCATTTGAGACACAAGATAAATTACGCTGGGCAAAATCAAACAAGATATCTTTGGATCGAACCCCTTCTGTTTTCTAAAAATCGATAAAGAAAGAATTATAGAATAAGAGAATTTATAAATAGAAAATATAGGTAATTTCTCGATATCGAAAATTTAGAAGATAAAATAGTTTATATATGATAAAAAATTAAAGAAACTATAATGATAAAAAATAAGATTTTCATGATTATTTCCGACTATGATTTGATTATAATATTATAGAAATATTCTTATTCTAAAATTTTAATTTATTCGAATTATTTATTTTATATATTATTTTATTTTATAATATTTTCTATATAATATTTATATAAGCACTAGGATAATGATAATATTTAATTTATATAATATTTGTTTTTCTTTTTCTAGAGTATTTCGAGGATAGGTAGAATTTCTCTTAGGATATAAGGCTTATTCTTGCTCCTAGGTGAGATACGAATGTTGCAGCCCTCTCGCTTGCTCAGGCAAAGTAAAACAAGTCAGCTTGGGCAGTATTTTATATGGCTTAAGGGTTATTCGAATTCCTTATATGGTAGCGGAACTCTTGGTGCATCGTGTTGGGCACTCAGCGGGTTAGTCCCACGGGTGCAGTGATTCGTGGGCTAGCCCATTCGTGGGCTAGCCCCGCAAACGCTAGGAGGTGCGGTCTGCACCCTCCTATTGGGAAGCGGTTACCTCCTCTCCCTGCGGCCTTCACGGCGGGTGGCGGAGGAGGCAAGGGCTCTAAGAAGGGCAAGCTTCTAGAGAAAAAAAGAAAAACAAACGGGGGGACCAGGTCGGCTGAAACGACCGCCCGTGCGAACAGTGTAGACAGGCTAAACGCCTGGCCTCCGCCCTTGATAGGGAGGAGGTTGAAACGAGCGGAGACTCGGAAGCCGACGAGCCCGGGGGCCAGGGCTCGTCATCGGCAGCGGCCCCGCGGCGAGTGGTGTTGATATACACTCAGGCCGAGGCAAAGGCTATAGCCAAGGCGGAGGCCCGGAAGAGGCCGATAAGGCTGGTTGAGGCCAAGGGTATGGCCCAGCCGGAGAGGATCAAGTGGAAGAAGGAGCGCAAAAGGCGCAAGAGGAGATCCCACGCTCCAAGGGTGACCCTCAAGTCGGTTCCAAGGGAACCAGCTCCTATCCGATTTCGGTCGGCAGGCCGACCGGTCCAAAGGGCCAGGAAGAGGTCGGAGGAGCTTAAAGATTGGCCCAAGTGCAACTTCGAGGGCAAGCTGCCGAGGGGCAGCATCGCCGAGTCCATTCGGCGGAAAGCAGGAGTGGACGAGGCGTGTTCCTCCTATGACGAGAGGGTCACGAAATACCGACCCTTGGTGAGGCGCCGTGTGTTAAAGCGCTTCTCGGGGCCAGAGCTGCGCAAGAGAGTCGAAGAAGCCCTGACCGGCAAAGAGGCCCCAGAGAAGGAAGTCGGTCAGGAGGAAGAAGAGGAAAGCCCGGTGGATCCGGGCTCGGAGCCGGACTTCGATCCACCAGCAAGCCCGGATCGAAAGCCCGATGGCGATGGATCCGGCGCAGCTGTCGCAGCAGCTTGCTGAGACGATAAATGCAGTGAGAGGGCTGCAAGGGAGGCTGGAAAGCCAAGAGCAGGAGCTCCAAACGTTGAGGGCTGAGAGGGCCCAAAACAGGCGGCTCACCACGGAGTCCGACCTGGAGCTCGGGCCGGTTGGGCCCCTAGGCCTCGGGGGGCAATGGCAGCCCCAAGCCCAGGCGGAGGCTCATAGGGGCCTGGTGGACACCCGCCAACTGGGCAAGCCAGACAAATTCTCTGTAGAGCCGGCGGCCTTCGAGGATTGGTCGTTTGTGCTGGAGGCCTATATGTGCTGCGTGAACCGCGGCTTCCAGGCGCTCTTTGAGCGCATCCGGTACTCTGACAGCCTGGGGAGGCGGAGCTGTCGACGCAGCTCTTTTATATCCTGGCGATGCTCCTCCAGGGCCGGGCGCTGGACATAGCCCAGAACACAGACCTGGGCAACGGCCTGGAGGTTTACAGGAAGCTGGTAAGTGAGTACCGGCCCCGGTTGGCCAGCCGCTTCGTGGGGACGCTCACCCAGCTTATGAGCCACAAGTTTACGGCCAGCCTCGAGGCCGAGATCCCCTTCTTCGAGAAGCTCGTGCGAAGGTACGAGGCCGAGACCGCAAGCAGCTTGATGATACCATCAAGCTGGGGATCATTATCAATGGCCCCCAGGACGAGTCCCTCAAGCAGCACGTGGTGAGGAATTCAGCGAGGCTCAAGACGTACCAGCTACTCAAGGACGAGCTCTTGGAGGTGGCTCGAACGAGCCGGGTGCTGGCCGAGCAGCCGGTGCCGATGGACATGTCGGCCCTTCCAAAGTGGAAGCAACGCTGGGAAGGAAAAAGGGAGCAAGGGCAAGGGAAAGGGCGGTAAGCAAGGTGATTCCCAAAAGCCCCAAGGTTCCGAAGGCGGTGGTCAAGGCCAAGGTAAGGGCAAGGAGGTTGTATGTTGATATTGTGAAAAGAAAGGCCACACAAAGGCCGAGTGTAGGAAGAAGCAAGCTGACGATAAGAAGAAGGGTTCTAAGGGAAA